AAATTGTAATTGGTTAGGCGAAGTTTTATTCAATACAAAAGTTTAATTATTATAGGACAGGGTGAAACCTGAGTTTCTATTAGTAAAACTGTGATTAGGATTAGGGTGAATTCCGAATTTAGCTATGTAGAGTTCCAAACTGGATAAATCTGTCCATATTCAAATTTATCTGAATATCCATTTACTATTGATATCCGGATAATCCGGATATTAATAGTAAATGGATCGAATAAATTCGGATTTGGATATCTGATGGATAGATGGATAAACGGGTAAATGGATTATGGATTGAAACTCTATACGTAGCTATGTTTTTTATTATACAAAAACGGATTTATTATCACGCGACTCTAGGTTTCACCTGTCGTATTATTATTATCGTTAAGTGACGCACAGGTTGTTACGTCAGACCCATACAATAAGATTATGTGGCAATAATATTACTGTATGGCATACAAATATGGAAGGTGCTTTAACATGTACAAATTTAGGAATTAGGGATAAATACGTAGTAATATAGAAACGATCCTTACAGTGTTACAATAAAGTAAGATAACGATAAGAAATCATTCGTGGATATTAAGAGTGGGATTAATAGAAGTTGTGGATTTGACATGATTATAAGATTTTAAATTAGAAGTTTTGAAAGTAAATGTTCATACAGATGTATTAGGAAATATAGTACCACAAGATTGAACATTCTGAACGCATTAAATTCATCACTTCATATAATTGGAATTGTTATAAATAATGGTTCTCTCGCGTTATGACTACTGTGAATTATATTTTCAAAAAAGTTACCTCACAGAACAATAACATTATCTCTTTAACAATAATAAAATCATTAACATCATGAAAATGTCTACATATCATACAAATAATTTTAGATTTTTTCATTCGCTCTTACTGGTTATTTATCGTGAATTTCTTGTATTGTATTATTTATCTATTTCTGATTGGATGTCGACCATAACCCCTCCAAGTTTTATGGCAATTGGTAAGTAAGGGCATGTCATTACTTGCCGACTATTATTGTATTAATTTAATGATCGATTCCTTATTTATTTAGGTGCACTTTATATGCGTATCTTCGGTTCTGTTGCTACCTATGACGGTGAATTTCTCGAGGCTATATTACTTGTTATATTTCCACGTTTATTCCGAGTCGTCATATACGTTACACTCTTTCTCTTGTTTTTTAATTGGTATGTAGTACTTAAAGAATTACAATTTTTATTTATTTTAGCTAATAATTGCTATTTTGTCATGATAGCGCTACTCAGATATCTTCAGTAGAAGAAGATAAGATAAATAAACCATTCCGTCCAATTCCCTCTGGCCTTACAACAGTTAAAGGCGCTAAATGTCGTCTAATGACTATCTCTATTATCTTCCCGATTGTATCATATCTGCTTGGTGGCACATTATCGCTTATTTATGCTTTCATATTCCAAATTTGGGTTATCCTTTATGAAAAGTTCAACCTACATAGCAATGCATTTTTTAAAAATTTTTTCACAACTTTCGCCGCATGGACCGAATTCTCCTGCTGCTATTATATTATTATTGGTACCAATCCTAGTGTATTTGACTTATTGAATAACAAGCCATGCCTGTTTAGGTTGGCTCCTTGCTTTTTCTTAGTGATCACACTTCAAGTTCAAGATTTTAGGGATCAGAAGGGTGATAAGTTTGTTGGTCGCAAGACACTCCCTATTCTTATAGGTGATAAATTTTGTAGATTGTTAACAGTTGTGACGTCAGCTATATCATTATTAGTTATATTTTATATTTCATATGGTCCTTTGGCATTTAAGAAAAATCTTAAAGTTAATGCTATTGATGGATTTATACTACATGAATTTGTTATTGTAGAATTCATTCTTATAGTCTTAAATATCTGTTATTGTATTAGATTAATTTTATATAGACAACCAAAGCAGGATAATATTACCTACCAAAGATGGTATTGTGGATTTTATTCTATTTTATGCTTATACTATGGCATGTGTATTAATAATGATATTGAACTATAAGAATTATAGAATTTGAATTTTAAAACATATATCGTTATCTGTAAGGGAACTTATTGCACGATGCACGTGTCGTTAAGGTGTTCAAAATACTAGTATCAAACATTAATTAGGGTTGCATGTGATAGATTTTTTATGAAAATCCGAATTTACTGCGGATAATATCAACTTTCGGTACGCTTTTCTCTTGAACTAGTATAATAATTAATGTTCAATTTTTTTTTAAAAGATAGAGCAAATTGTATACTTTAGTGCGCTTTGTTCACCTTATGGTCTGTGCTTCCGTTGTATGCCCGTTGCGTACTCTTAGTTTTAATTAGTTTTATTTAATTATTTGCCCTCTAACAATTATACTTCTATTGATCTTCAACTACATAAGAATCATCTTGAAAAATAGCTAGATGTTCAGGCGTTTTGGAACCTCCAATTCAAAGTTTACGATATGTTAAGGTTTATAATTTTACATTTTTTGAGTTCCTATTCAAAATATTTTGATTAGGTAAAAACGGCTCGAACAGTGATGCATGTTGCTTTAAGCAAATTGGAAAAGTGTTGTTGCCCACAGAAACTGCTAATTTTTTAACTATAGTTCGATTATTGCAAATTTATATAGTTTACTGGTAAGTCTGTTTGATAATGTATCTATAACTTTAAAACATATTATAACTTGATTATTTTTGTTAATTAGAAACGCATTGATCGTTCCATTGATGAATTGAATAAACCCTCTACCCCCACTGGTCAATCATATCATAGAGAATCGAACTCATCTCCTCACAAAGTTCAAATACCAGTTTTATCGGTTTTGTCGATCAATTTCGAACACCCCTATTAATAAATAATAAATAATAATTAACTATTAATAATAAGTACATTCTTGATAGGGGTGTTCGATAAAACCGATAAAAATTCCGTCTTCTGCGTTTTCTGATTTATCAGATTAGGAAACCCACATTTTATGTACTGGTATTAATCAAATTTCTTATTTTAATAAGGGTGTTACAGTGTAAAAGTGACGATACCAGAAAATAGGGTCGGAACTACGCTGAAAGCCCAAAG